GATTTTAATTTAAATCAAAGTCAAACAATAAATATTAATCATATCTTATATGGGTTCCACAACTTTTCAACCACACATTTCAAAAATTTCTATGACAATCTACTAAAAATTTAATTTTAATCCCCACCAAACATCCTTTATAACTTGAGATTATTTATAGAAGGCTATGTTTTAAATAAAGATTAAAGCTTGAACTCTTGAGCATAAGGCTTACGGCCATTGTTGCCACTTTCTTGGATATTCGGTAAGTGGTAATAAGTTTCGATTGGCAAATATTGACTTTTGTTGATCGATATACTTATGAAATAAAAGAATTGTTTTTGTACTTCTTGTTAGTGATGTAAAAAATGACCGTCCTTAGAGCACGAAGAAATGATCATGTGCAATATGTCCAGGACCATTTATCTTCTAGGATGGTTTAAACATATTTTTTTCTCGAATCATGTTCTTTATTGTACTTAGATACTCATTTTGGACAAGTCAAGTTTAGTATTCACATAGAAGTAGCTCCCATGAATGCTGTTTGTATCAATCAAGTCGTGTGATTTTCAATTGTGCTGTCTTAGCCTTTCGTTATTGTTTCTTCTTCATTAGTTGAAATTGGACCGTCGCTTATTGTATAGTTCTTGTTAATCTTGTAGTACTACACAGATGATCAAAGAACAGTCGAGTAAAAGCCTCGTGGCCGCCTTTTGTTCAGTTCTACACTCGTGTCCTCTAATGGCTTTTTAATGTTTAGGAGCCAAACGGGACTACTTGTGGAACAACAAAGAAAAGGCGAGATCAATATGTTCGGATTTAAAGAGCAAGGACCAACTTAACCATAGGTTGGAGAAATTCCCCACTTCTGTTACATTAATTGTTGATTTTTCTCGAATTTTTTAAAACCATTTTTAGCACCACCAAAGAAAGAGCTAAATTGCAAATCGTTATTGTAAATAAATAAATGGAAAAATAGTCGCGAGATATACTTAAATAGTGACAACACAACAATTTTTGTTAAATGCCCCCCACAAATCTAATTGTAGTAAAGATCCTCAATTTTTATTTATTTTTGCACTTTTGTCCTCAACTTTTTTTTTTTTTTTTGTATCATACNCTTTTTTTTTATCATACTCTTGTCATCAACCTTTTATGAATTAGCAGATAATGTATATCGTGAAAAGGTGTCGATGAATAACAATGGTTAGGAGAGTATGGAAAGACCTATAGTACCTCATATTTTTAAATAAATAAAATATCTATAGAGTTCTTTGTAATTTGTTTCAAAGTACATTAAAATAATATTTCGTGCCATCAAAGTCCAGCACTAATTAATTGAAAGTCAAGAATAAAAATACAAGAAAAAAACTAGGGCATAAATGGAAAAATAAACAGAGAATAGAGCCTTCTACAGCAATTAAAAATATATTGTAATTAACAAATATGGGATATAATTATTAATTATCCTAAAATAAAATAAATTTTGCTACTTACACATCGAAGTTGATGAATTTTTTTTTTATTGTACGAAGACCCCTCCATTTGCGAGGGGCTGGACATCAGGATGTCACGAGTAGCAAAATCCAAAATAAAATTGATGGTTGGAAGGACACCCACCTGTAACATCAAATCCAAATGTTCTATTTCCCAGCTTTACACGTGTAATTTCTATGCTATTGAATGCTCCACACAGCTGTGCCACTGCACCGCCACCGTATTATTATTAGAGTATAAAATACGCCCGGCCAGGGTAGCTTTTCTTTTGTATCTACACTCTAAAACGCGAAGAAATGAGCCAGGAACAACCACGAAGGCCAGAGGCCGTCAAGTACGGTGATCTTTTTCAAGTTTCCGATGAATTAGCATCCAAACCTATAGCTCCACAAGATGCCGCCACCATGCAAGCAGCCGAAAATATCGCACTTGGGGAGACTAAGAAGGGTGGTCCAGCTGCCGTCATGCAATCAGCCGCCGACGTGAACGAGCGGCTCGGCGCCGTTGGCCATTACGATATGACCAACGTTGTTAGGGAGCAGGGAGCCACCATATCCGAAGCTGAAGTCTGTGGGTACCGCATGGTCACTGAATCTGTCGGAGGAGAGGTATAATATTATTAATTTTCTTCATTTCCGTTTCTGATTATCTGATTAGGCTTCAAATTTTTTATTCTTTTATGCACCGCAGGTTTTGGGACAGTACCAACGACCAACAGATGTGAAAATGATCCATCCGGGGGCGGCGCTGGACCCGGATGCGATTACTGTAGGAGAAGCACTGGAGGCGGCTGCTCTATCAGCTGGGAACAAGCCAATTGATGAAAGTGACGCTGCCGCAATACAAGCGGCCGAGACTAGTGCAACCGGGCTCGGCCATGTTGTGTCTGGTGGTGTAGGAGCAGAAGCTCAGTCCGCCGCGGCGTATAATATTCGAACCACCAGGAATGAGCAGAAAACCAAGCTTGGCGATGTTTTGGCAGTAAATACCTAAATCGAATTTCATCTAACTTAATTTCTGATTTGTATGTCTTAGGGTCTGTTTGGAATTGCTCATGTTTAGTCACCTTATGTTAGATTCATTTAAAAACTTAACATCTTGACCTTGACCTTGACCGACCAGACGGGCTTATGAGTACGTTTGGTACATACTATTCAAGTCCAATGTGCCAAAGACGCAATGAAATTTGCTTTCTTTTGCAGGATGCAACTGAGAAACTTGTTGATGACAAGCCGGTGACGAGGGAAGATGCTGAAGGGGTAATTAACGCAGAAATTAGGAACAACCCGGACCTGGCTACGCATCCAGGTGGTGTCTCCGCCTCTATGGCGGCTGCTGCAAGGCTTAATCAAGAGCAGTGAAGCTCTCTCTATCTAGTGTATGACTGTATATATAGTACTACTGGTTTGTGCATGTGTGTGTGCGCGCAATAAAGAGACTTGTGGAGTTTTATAGTCAGACCATAATTTTGGGATCAACAAAGTTTATAATTATCAAATTTTAAGGATTTTGACATCTGTATTTACAACTTGGACAAACCCTAAGAATGGCAGACATATGATACTTCATCTCAGGGCCCATCCAGGCTAAAAGGTCCTTAATTTTGGGCTAGATAAGATAGTAAGAAATATAAGCAAAATTCGTCTATAATTTTATCAAATCTAGCACATTAGACATGTTGCAAACGTGCAGTGAACATCTCATTACAACACGTTCTAAACTATTTAAAATTAATATATAAGATGGTTATATAAATTAAAAGCACGTCGAATAGTAGCGAATTCCACAAAATGTATCAATAAAAATGAGAACTAATCAATAGTATATTGACTTTCATTGAATTTATGAACCATATAGAAATTATTTGCCAGCTGAAGGCTTGCCAACCATATTATCATTCTTCTACTCATTTTCAACCATACATTTTTCAATAAAATAATATTTTTCATCACATCAATAACTTTTCATTCTTTTTCAACCACATATTCCTCAATACATCAAACAAAAAAATGCATTCTTAGTCCCAAAATGTGCACCAAACAGGGGCTGAATTTTTTTTTTTAATTATTATTATTATTGAAATTTATTTTAAAGAAATACTGTTTGTAAGTCTAATGGCAATGCCTATGTTTCTTTGTATTTATTAGATTACTTTTAAGTGCAATCAAACATGTTCGAGTTAGTTATAAAGAGTAGATATTTTCATTTTTATTTTATCTTTAGCTGCTAAATAGTTATAAAATTGATAAATTGGTCATGTATTAAACACGAGGGAACTAAGAATTGATTTTTTAGTTGTGACATCATCTATAATTGACAATTAAATTGATGTTTTGTACACGAAAGAAAGCAACATGGTAGGTGAAACATGTGAGATTGATAAGGAAGTTGCAATATTGTTTCTTGGTTTGAGTTTCTTAGGTCCCTTCTCCAAGATTTTGTTTGTCATAAATATTCTTCGTTAAGTTTGTTAAGATTTGGAGTTTCATATTAAAATGTCAACCTTATTAAGAGAAGTAATTCACACTCTTATAAATTGGTTTATATTTTCATCTTTATTCGATGTGAGATTTTATCCCTTAACATGTAATACTGTAATACAGGCATTATATCAATTACTTGTATTAGTTTTCAATAATTTTGTAGACAGATACTTGTATCCATCATTGAGCCCTTCATTTTTCAGGTAGGGTAGTTCAATTGGTTTGGAGTGTAGAAGCCGATTAAGTAGGTGTTNAAAAAAAAAAAAAAAGGGTAAAATCCACATTGTTTGGATTCTCAACAATTACTATGTGCTGAATGAATATAATTATGATCTTGAAGACACTAATTGATTGTTCCTTTTGTTTGGGGTAAAAGAAAAAAAAATCTTGAAAAGGAGTATGAACATAAATTTCTTGGATTATTGTCCTTTGATACACAAAAGCATGCTAGTAATAGGAATAGGATAAAGAGATGTCATAAAACTATAACACAAAGGTTAATGTAATGAGCCAATCAATTTTGTACCCACCATATGATATATCACTTTCTCACTTATTTAACTAGGCGACCTGCTCGTGGCTTCACCTGACCGGTCCAATTATTAGACAGCCTTAAAAAAAATATGTTTTATACTCTACAATTCTAAGTCCGAGAAGTCTGTTTCGATATCGATCCCTCTTTTTTCAAAGAAAAGCTCGGGATAAAGCCTTTTCATTTAGATAGACAAGTCGTCTTTTTTCGATGGTGGAAATAAGGGGAGGCCCATCCAAGCAAATGGGGTGGGGAAGGGAGAAAGAGTTCGTGAGCATACAAGTCGATGAAACATAAAGACAAGATGCGAAAGTACGAGCTTGAAGTATATATGGGCAGCTTTTAATCTAACAAATGTACTTCATGATTTAATAAACATAACCTACAGTACAAGTTTGGCAAAATAGATAAAGATGTTACACCAAATAATGACATATAACATACGATCTACTAATTAAGGAATGTCTTCTGTTTTAATGGGAAAAAATGTCATTGCGATTTTTCGTGTGATCTTAAAGGGAAAGATTAGAGACGTCATTGCTATTTTTCTCGAGATCTTGACGCGATTAGAGATGCCTACTACTATTTTTCCTGAGACGTTTCGTTAAAGGTTATAGTATTTCACTGCTTTCTACTGCTAATTTTCCTTGGATCTTGACATGAAAGGTTAGAGATGTCATTGTTATTTTTTCATGATCTTGACACAGTCATAGATGTTTACGATATTTTTCTGAAATTGTAACGTGAAGGGTCATAGACGTCATTATTATTTTTCTCATGATCTAAACATGAAGAGTGATGTTATTTTACTATTTTTCATGTCAAACAAAAAAAAAGAAATATATTCTCATTTCTGTCCCTCTCTCTTAAGTATAAGTTGGCCTTCTAAGTTCTAACTCCTGTCTGAACATAACATACTTCAAAACAAATCTCTCTCTTTTTCTAGTGTAATTTGTTCTTCTTGTGTGTCAAAACAATGCCCAAAAACCTTAATTTTTGCTTTACAACGTTCAAATCTTTGCCATCTCTCCAAGAAAATCATAGACGTCCATTTTGCAATCCGGCTGCTGCATCTTTACTTATCAAGAACTTCAACTCTCTCTATGATTTCACAATCGACTGCTCAGCCGCCGCTGCCGCATCTTCCACCACGTCGGACCACCATTCTTTATCTGACTCTGAATTCGAAACTGAAACCACCAACACAGCAGATTTAGCCACCGCCTTCGCCTCCCAACGCTTCTTCTTCTCTTCCCCTGGCCTCTCCAACTCGATTGTGGACTCAATATCAGCGTCATCATCAGTCGCATCAACCTCATCTTTCTCACTGGAAAAAACACCGGCATCTGATACTATTGCCGTTCCAACGTACTCCGTGGACCCCTTCATCGACTTCCGGCGATCCATGCAAGAAATGGTGGAGGCGCGTGAACTTATTGATGTAAAATCCAACTGGGATTACTTGCATGAGCTTCTCATGCGCTATCTATCCTTAAACCCCAAAAGCACCCATAAATTCATCGTCGGAGCTTTTGCCGATCTCCTCGTCAGCATGATGACACCTCCACCGCCGGAGAGTGGCCGCCCGAAATAATTGTAGCTTGGTATCATTTTCATTATAACTTATGTTGTTGGAATATATAAATGTTGACAGTTCATGAACGAACATGTGGGGATAGTATGCGCTTGGTCCCCTATTGGCATCAATTATAATCAAATTGCCTTGTCCTTTACAGCATGTAAATGATTTAGTTTTGGTGTGCCATTTTGGTATTAGAGTAGACATCGATCTTAAGTTTTAACTCTTGTTCTCGTCTATCTACGAAAATTGGTCAACATATTGAGCCTTTGATGACAAAAAATGTCTAAAACTTTTAGACGAAATTGTTTAAACGAGTTTTCTTAGGCAACTCGATATCATATTCCAATGCCATACTTTTTAATGCAAAATTAAACCCTTTTCGCGTTAGATTTCTGATAGTGCTGAAAAGCAATGAAACTTTTTCGATTTCTGATCATATCTGTATTTCTGAACCCTAATGAAAAAGCTGTTGCTATGTTAATGCTAACTGCAGCAAAATTCAAGAATTAAATCGTATCTGTTGACTGGAGTTATCTCAATCCTTTGGTTCTCTCTTTTGGATAGATTATTTCTCGTTGATCAACAACACTGTTAGATTGGTTTATGAAAAAGATTGGGTCGAAAAATTTATCCTTATTCCCGAGCTGACTCCCAGGATAATATGTAACAAAGTTTTGGGATAATCTCGATCATAAGCACGGGGAGTTCTAAAAACCGTAGATACGACTCATAACATTCAACAGTTGGAAAAATATCAGTTTTTGAGAGTTCAAATCAAACAAGATTATCAACTTATTTGAATTATAATCAATTATTTACGAACATAATGTGTGAAGTTTCAGCGGTGCCAGATATGCAGAAACAGCAGTGTGTAAGGATTCATTTGTGAGTATTAATTGTTTTATTCATAGCAAGTTGAGCAAATTGCAGGTATATTAATGACAAAATTGATCATTTGTACAAAATTAGACCATACTGAAAAGTGTAGTAATGTCCTTTTAATGACAACAAAATATGTGGGCTCATCGTTTCTTCTGAACACAAAACTCTCATTTCACTTCTTCATTCAAGTTAAAATCTTGGGATAATGTTTGATCAATCAGACAGGCTAGCAGACAGTGAAAATTTCAAGATTTCAAGGTTAGATCGACTCAACTATCTAATATTATCTAATGTTTCATATCGAGCGTGCTGTAAATTGTTCGATGAGATGGTTCCACTTGGTGATTGATTGAGGCAGAATCTTGAAGTCAGGACAATATTTGGATTAAAATGAAGACAAATTATATATAAATAAAGTAGGATCAAAGACAGACAAAATCAGGGAATCTTGAATTTGTTTTTCTCACCCATTGTTTTACAGTTCTTAAATTAATTGTTTTTCTGAGACATGGGATAAAGATTGAAGATTCTGTGGTGATAATAACATTGTAATTGCATGTGACTTAATTATATATTCAGATATGACACAGAAGCTGACTTGTTTCTTCGTACAAGTTTCTGCTTTTCGACTTATAATTGTTTTAACAATGGTGAATTGATGAACTGGTTTCTGTACTTGCCATTCATATGGTGCGTCATCACATCTCATCCAATAGTTATTATTTATTTTAGTTGTCTCCATTAATGTTCATTTCTTGTTCTATAGATCATTTATCTTTGTTTCATTCAGCATAAATTTCGGAAAACTCTACTGGTCGAGTAGCAAGCTAGTCATTAAACCTTTAAAATGAGCAAATTAGTTCTCAACGTTTCCTTATATTCACACAATATTCAGTGCCCAAAGACCTAACCATCCAAATCTCAATTAAAAAAAAAAAATCCGTTACAGGTCAAATTATACGAAGTTCACTTATGTTTTAGAAATGAAAGCAAAGAAAACTTGCCAATGGTGTAGACACATGCAGCTGGATATCCAAGTAATGTTTTATATGTTTGATATTAACAGAATTCAATTAGGCTATCAAAACCGGGCCATACTGCAAACTTGTTTTATAATTTTCCGGAATCGCATCATTACAAAGTATTTAGGTAACTAAACTCATCCATAAATCTAATGATTTTGCCATAACAGTCTCATTGAAATCCAACGCATCAAAAATCAACGTAAAATAGAGAGCAAATTACTAGCTGTAAGAACTTAGTCAAGAGCTGCAGCAAAAATTCAGACAAAACGACAAAGAGAACAGTATAAAAAGTTGAGGCTCATCGCTTCTTGGAGACACCAACAGTTTTTCCCCTGCGGCCAGTGGTCTTTGTGTGCTGTCCACGCACACGAAGTCCCCAGTAGTGACGGAGACCACGGTGGTTCCTACGAGAGGTGGACAAAAACAAATGAATAAACAGCAGATGCAAAGGCAACAGCCTCATCACAAAATACTTAAACATGGACAGTTGAGACCATTTCAGAGTGAAAAGCCAGACCTGATCTTCTTCAAACGTTCAAGATCATCCCTGAGCTTCATATCCAAAGCATTGGAAGTCACTTGAGAAAATTTTCCATCCTTGTAATCCTTCTTCCTATTCAGAAACCAGTCAGGGATCTTGAATTGACGGGGATTTGCCACAATAGTCATCAAGCTGTCAATCTCCGCAGCAGAGAGCTCACCAGCCCTGGTAATAAATAATTCACTAAGCTTTCAATTTATTTTCCAAAAACTATAGTGGAGAGGGAAAAAATAAGATTCTCATGCATTTTCTACCAATAGCCATGAATAGGAGCGAAACAAAGAATATCAATCAAAGCAAGAAATTCAACATCGATCAAAATTCTGAGAAATGAATCTCATAATGCACCAAAAATTGACAGATCTAATTCCTCAACATGAAACAATATGATGTATAAGGCCAAAAACTAATATATACAATCAAGAATAACATTATAAATCCAAACAACTTATCTGTTTTAAGAATGCTTGGTTGAATGAAGCATATCAATAGGTTTACGTTTATCCATTTCAAAACTAAAATGTTTTCTAGCATACTCGGGCAAAATACATAGGACGACAGAGTATGGATTTGAGACCCCAAGAGTGGAATTGTTGAAGAATTTATTCTAACTGGATTGGGAACATTTTAAAATCCAATTACAGTACGAAATAACAATCTTGAGAGAGAATTACGCTATCCTTATGCCAAAATACACTACACTAACTAGCAGTTTAACATCCAAAACATGCCAAATGAAATAAAATAAGACAAAATAGAAATGAGAGCAGTTTAAAACATTTGATTTTCTTTATGATTTGTATCCCCCGCTGTAGAAATGAGTTGATCGTATAAAATCCATAGATTGCAGAGGCACTCAACATTGAAGTTTGAAGGTATAAATATGTTAATTCAAATTTCAAGTGCTCTTCTCCAATTCAAATTCTAAACCAAACGCACAAGTTTGTATTCAACAGATAAAAGCATGACTCGAAGTCCACCTCATACAGAGGTGTGATATTCAAGTAGAGGTGTCAATCCGGGTGGTCCGGGCCGGGTCGGCCCGCCAACATGTGAGCCCGGTACCAGCCCGCGTGAAAAAAAGCCCGCCCGCTGTGGGTTCCGGGCCGGTTACTGGTCGGCCCCCAATTTTGGACTACAACCCAGGCCCGTTTCAGTGCCCAAAGACCTAACCATCAAAATCTCAATTAAAAAAAAAAATCCGTTACAGGTCAAATTATACGAAGTTAACTTATGTTTTAGAAATGAAAGCAAAGAAAACTTGCCAATGGTGTAGACACATGCAGATGGATATCCAAGTAATGTTTTATATGTTGATATTAACAGAATTCAATTAGGCTATCAAAACCGGGCCATACTGCAAACTTGTTTTATAATTTTCTGGAATCGCATCATTACAAAGTATTTAGGTAACTAAACTCATCCATAAATCTAATGATTTTGCCATAACAGTCTCATTGAAATCCAACACATCAAAAATCAAGGTAAAATAGAGAGCAAATTACTAGCTGTAAGAACTTAGTCAAGAGCTGCAGCAAAAATTCAGACAAAACGACAAAGAGAACAACAGTATAAAAAGATGAGGCTCATCGCTTCTTGGAGACACCAACAGTTTTTCCCCTGCGGCCAGTGGTCTTGGTGTGCTGTCCACGCACACGAAGTCCCCAGTAGTGACGGAGACCACGGTGGTTCCTACAAGAGGTGGGCAAAAACAAATGAATGAACAGCAGAAGCAAAGGCAACAGCCTCATCGCAAAATACTTAAACATGGACAGTTGAGACCCTTTCAGAGTGAAAAGCCAAACCTGATCTTCTTCAAACGTTCAAGATCGTCCCTGAGCTTCATATCCAAAGCATTGGAAGTCACTTGAGAAAACTTTCCATCCTTGTAATCCTTCTTCCTATTCAGAAACCAGTCAGGGATCTTGAATTGACGAGGATTTGCCACAATAGTCATCAAGCTGTCAATCTCCGCAGCAGAGAGCTCACCAGCCCTGGTAATAAATAATTCACCAAGCTTCCAATTTATTTTCCAAAAACAACAGTGGAGAGGGAAAAAATAAGATTCTCATGCATTTTCTACCAATAGCCATGAATAGGAGCGAACAAAGAATATCAATCAAGGCAAGAAATTCAACATCGATCAAAATTCTGAGAAATGAATCTCATAATGCACCAAAAATTGACAGATCTAATTCCTCAACATGAAACAATATGATGTATATGGCCAAAAACTAATATATACAATCAAGAATAACATTATAAATCCAAACAAGTTATCTGTTTTAAGAATGCTTGGTTGAATGAAGCATATCAATAGGTTTATGTTTATCCATTTCAAAACTAAAATGTTTTCTAGCATACTCGGCCAAAATAC